TGCGGCGCGGCGTAGGGATGCGGAGAGAGTGATTTAATCAAGCCGTCTGCATTCGATTATCGGTCCGCAGTTACGTGGATCGTTACGTCGTTTCTCCTTGCAGAACGCGGTTCGCCTTACGTTAATTTCGCGCTCGTGCACTCGCTCTGGTCCGCCGGGCTCGTTCACGTTTAAGACACGCTCACGTAGCAACAACAGATATAACGTTTAGGGAAGTGATAGAAACTCAAAACGCGACCGTGTTCGGGGGAGAAGTTTTGAATAGCTGAAGCCACAGAAAAAAAATGATACACGTAATTATGTTTAGAGAAAATAAACGGAGAAATACGTACATCTATTTAACATATTATTGTAGAGTGAATTAAAAATTACTTCGATAAATTATCAACATCTTTGGAATCAATTTCCTCTATATTAATAATATATCAAGTTTCTCTGAACTTCTCTGAACGATATTTTATTTAGTGTGAAAAACACACATTAAAAGTAATTTAGCGTAATATAATTTCTTTACAGTTTTAAATCATTGAACAAAAATCGTCTGCTTTAATCTTTTAAGTATTTCGGAGATGTTACTTACAATTAATTAAACATATCTTGATTATGTAGTAATATTCATTAATATTTCAGTTACTCTCAAGTCTAACATAGCTCTAAAGAAATCTAGCATATTTTATTCAGTCGAAGTCATACTATTATTTCTTTGATACTGGTATGTAACAGCTGCTGCGATAGATTTTATTGAAGCTTCACGTAGCTCATCACCGTTCCATCTCAATCAAATTTTCGTTAAAAATAGACTGATTTTTAATCGCTCAAAGTACTTAGATCATTCTTGAAAGATGCTTAATTTTTTAAAGATGTATATATTGTATCTTTTACGACACATAAATTATCAATTGTCCTTTAAAATTCTTTGAGATATTTATTAAAAAAACTTTTATCATGTATATATTATACATCGTTAATTTATCTGCCTTAAGTTCGCTATTTTGAGTAACTCTGTGACTATCAATCGTGTTATTTAAGGATTGCCAATTTATCATGTTTCTAAGACGTAGTGTATCGATCAAGTTAGGTTAGGTTCCGTCAATATTTTATCTGGATAACCTAATGGAACCAAGAGAGGCTTACGCGAACGACGACGAGGCCGTTAGGTGAGCACAAATTGGCCGGTCTCCGATAAATATCGACGCGGGCGTAAAGCTGCAAGAGCTTTACGAGATTAATAGTCTTGCCCGGCCGCCATGACGAGCCAACGAGTCGCCGCCATCTTGGAAAATCGCCATCGCGAATATATAGAGTTACCTGTGTTACAGTGTTCTCGCAACCTCCGCTTTCGTTTGGCGAACCTAACTGAGTGCAACCTGGCTTCTCACGAAATTACCTGTCCTACCGCAAGGTATAATTAAATCGTTACAGCAGCCTTGCCGCGAGGATCAGCTCTGGAAAATGGCGACTGCTTTGAAGGCGCTCACGGCAATTCGCCGAATTTAGCAGCACTCAAGTCCTCGTTGTGATTCGATTATACGATATTAATTGCGAACCTAGGTGAACATATTCAAGCACCCTTTACTTCCCTAATGGAACTTGTCTTCCACTCTTTGAGGAAAACGTTAACTCGTTCACTTCGCGTTCTCGCTTATAAGTTGAGTTAGGCGACGCAACCATGGAGCTTCTTTCAACTATCTGCATCTTATTTTATAATATAAACTTTGAGATCAGAAAGAGAGAAAGATGGTGAGAGATAGAACTTTTTCTATTATTTTTGTATCTAAAATTGTATCTATTTTTTTCTTTTGAATACTTTTTTCTGATTATGAGAAAGAGCATTATTAGATTGTTCTGTAGTGTAGATATATTCAAAATTAAATCGGAAGAAGTAAACCGATAACGGGATCGCCATGTTAATCCGAGCCTAACTCTAACTAACTTAATCCTAATCTAATCTGACCCTTATCACTGGCGGATGTTCGCGTTTACGGCAATGGCGGCGGGCAATGAATGCACGGCCTATGTATCATAATTTCGACAGTTAGCAATTTGTTTGTACCCGAATTCGATGCGATATCCGGCTGGCCGGATGCCGGATGCGGCAAGGCGCGCGGAGACGCATACTAACGGCGCGGCTCGGCCGTTCGATGCTCCGCGCTTTTTCGAAATGAGGTCGAACTTCTCCGTGCACCTGTTCGTGTCCGGGATTCTCAAATAAAGATAGGTGCGAAGAATGGAATATCAAGATAAAATCGAGGGCATTAAATGAATCAATAAAGGCTGTTTGAATACCGTACTTCAAATTTGTGACGTATATCGATCGCGGAAAGAATAGATCCTTCTTATTGGCGCTTTTTCTTTGTTAGAAATTAGGATTTCATATATCTATTGTATTTAAAAAATTAATCTGAAGAAATTGTACCGATTCTATTTTGTTATAAGTTACATCGAAAAAAATTTACTAAATTTTAATACATATTTTTTTTATAGTACGAAATAAACATTTACTTACAGTAAATAAATATTTACTCGATAAGAAAATGATAGTTAAATCAAATTACATTTGATAAATATTTAATTAGAATTTATTTATTTAGTATGTTTCATATTTATTAAAAATTTAATATTTTTTTTAGTGTAGCACAAGTCATATGTCTCTTTTATTTAAAAAATAAATCTTATGAAAATATACCAATTCTACTTAGTTATGAGTGTAGTTAATGCATCTAAAAAAAAAATCGTGAAGCATCAAGCTGAGAAGTATAAATGTATCTTTATGCATTATATTGTTGCGAGAATACGCGAGGAGGATATTACCGAAATTAAGACTTCGCTGCAGCTCGGAGACTCATTTATCTCGGAAATAAGTAAGCATAATTAAAAAATACATTTCCCAAGTTGATTTGCGAGCAAACTTCTCATTTAGATCTCTGAATAGCGCGAAATGCGAATTTATGAGCACTGTGTATTGATTTTACGCGATTTTACTGTGAATTTCAGAATATTCCATAATATAAAGCTTCTACATTTGCGGTACTCTGATATCATACCGAACGGTTAATAAACGCAAAACATTCAACAAAATAGCAATAATTCAAATGACATCGAGTGTTGACCATTCAACATCGCCATCCATCAATTTTAATCAACGGTAATCGATAAGCGTAACACGCGCCCTTTTCACATGCGCGCACATTTTCGATTAATAAATGGTTGTTTAATTCTGCGTTTTTCGCGCATCAATGCTGATTGAATTACCCATTCGGCCATCCTGAACGCACTGTCTCTATTTCCTCTCTCTCTCGCCGTTCCGACTCAACGACCTGTAACCTTCCGCCATCCACCATCCACTATCCGCCGGCTTCTTTCATTCGATGCTCTCGATGTCTACACACACCCGTGCACTTCGATGCCGTACTCTACAGCGCGTTTCAAAGGCCGTCCGATGCATCGAGCTAATTAAATTAATTAATCGAATGTCTGTCATCATCTCTGGTGAAAGTAATAAAAATCACGATACTTTTAAGGCATTTCAGGGAGCTTATTATTACTAATTAAAATTTAAAGCGAAATATTTCACTACTATTTGATGTCAAAAAATTTAAGGGAATACGAAAAGTAATAACTTCGTCTCATTGAATATCCGCTTAAGAGTTAAGATTTTAGATTTCATTTTATTAGTTAATATGTACGGTTCGTCGCAAAAGTTTCTGAACTTTTTTCTACAGGCTGAATAACTAAAGCTACAAAATATGTATAGTACACTGAAAAAAATTTTTGGTTTAAAATGAACGAATCAGAATTTTCTGATTAAATTTATTAGACTTCTAGTTGAGATAATCGGAATTTTGGTTAATACAATATTTCTGGTAAAATCTACCAGAATTCTTATTTTTACCAGAATAATTATATCAAGCTACCTCAACTAGAATTCTAGCAGATTTAACCAGAAAATTCTGGTTCGTCCATTTTCCACCAAAATTACTATTTAATTCAATCAGACCATTTTTTTCAGTGTATGAAATTATTTTCCAAAATTATTTCCTAAAATTTTATTTCTAACTCGAGTTATATTTCTCTTTATTATATTATTTATTTGTGACGTCAAAAATGAAAGTACCTACGTTTTTTACTTATTAAGAAAAATAATGGAATAAAGAGGGAACACAGCCTTAAAAGGTGTCTTTAGTGCTCGACCATCCACCGTATTCACCTTATATAGTTTCCTGCAATTATTTTCTTTTTTTCAAATTAAAAATGAAGCTGGAAGAACAACATTTTAACACAATTTCGAGAATTATGAGATACAAAAAATTTCGACCGAAGTCATTTCCCTCATTTCAAAAGAAGTTTATAAAACATATTTCTAGAAATTTTATCGTAAAGATTGTATTACTTTAGATGGAATGTATTTGGAATAATTAATAAATAAAATTACAAAAATCATAATAAGAAATCAAATTTTTTAATATTGAATATTTAGAGATTATGAAGATTGACAATTTTACGTTGCATGAGGGGAATTACTTTTCATAATAATTACCTTTAAGTCAGTTCTTTGGTGAATCCATAAAGATTCGTATGGCAGATAGATGGTTTTTATGACCTCCTTGGAGCAAGATGGAAAGACACTGTCGAAAAGTGTTTTCACATTAAATATGAACACGCAGAGGATGAAGCGTGGTACAATAAATGGCGGAGGAGTATATCATGATAATGCAGGCCACTCGTAATTCATAGCAATGGCGCGGTGTGGGGATTGCGGTAATGCAAGGCGATATTAAAGTGATTTTCATTTTTCGTAAGATTCATTATGTCCGCCATGTTAAGAAGTGTCATTAATCATCGGGTGCTATTAAATGCCGGCGAAGATAAGACCGGTTAAATTTTTGATAAACGTGCGGATTAGCGCGCGCTAGTGTATACATATGACTTATATATGTCGATTTTTATACGTACATAAATATTATAATTTAAATTCACCGTAGACGTAATCTAAATTTCAGATGAGGAGTCCGGGGTCTACACGGGAAAACCTTTGCCCACTTACAGACCGACCTCGCAGTTGGTGCCCCTGGGAGGTACAGCGAGGCTCTTCTGCGAGGCTTACCTGGGCAAGGTCGACTTGCCCGACGCCAAGAATTCCGTCACCTGGTCGAAAAGCGACAGCAACGTGACACTGCCCAGTCACGGTAGGATAGCACAGCACAGGGTGTCTCGGTAAGTCAAGAATAATTATGCATAAAACACATTTTCATCCAAAGATAAACATAAATTAAATATATTTAAATAATTTGCAAAAAAATTCTAAAATTTAAAAAAATGAGTACAATATTTGTAATATATTAAAATGAGAGAAAAACTTCAAGAAGCTCTAGATAGAGAAAAAAATGCGGTTATATGGAATAGGTGGAGAGTTACAAAATACTGTGATATCTTGTATAGTTTACACTACATTCGGAGCAATCGTCAAAATTATTTTTTCACAGTCTACTTAGATGTTATAATATGATCATTGGTGGATCATTACTATTTACTACGTTATTGTGAAAGTTGCATTTTAATTTTTACAAGTAGCATACAGTTTTACAGGTGTGTACAAACAGAAAAATATTATTTAAAAAAAAAAGTAATTACTCAATTTACTTTCTTTTTTTAAGATAACGGTTATCTTTAATGAAAATATTTTCTAATAATCTTAAAATATATCTACTTATTATAAATTTTAGAAAAACTCATTATTATGTACCCAAAACAAGAATTTTTCTTCTTTTGAAGAATGTTATAAAATTGATCGAACAAGAAACTTTAGTAAATAAATTGAATTTGTTTTAATTTAATAGTCTTGATTGAAGCATTAAACTCACTAGGGTTTACAATATATTTTGAATAAATTTGATGCTTGTGATGAACTTATGATATGCAAATATATATGAACCTTTGAAATAGATATTTGAAACAAGTAATTATATTACTCGCATACAGTTTATGTTTTTCTACACTTTTTATGTAATTTTGAAAAGTATGTTGCATATGGTAGATTTCAGTCTAGTTTGGAGGCCTTGGATGCGGCTTCAAATGATGTGATATTGAACTAAATTTGGTAACCAAATGTGTGCATGTATCCAACGTGTAAAGTTACACCTATTATACATATACCTACTGATTCGTGATATTCCATATCTCCCCATCCGTTCCATAACCGCAATTTTTTTTCCTCTTCAGTTTTTTTTTATATATATATATATATATATAAATTATGTTCTGTCTATTTAAAGAACTTCTAGTATAAAATTGATATCACTCTATGGCTAACAAACTTGTATCAAAAGTACGTCACATGAAAATCTGAGTTATTTCAGTAAAAAATAGTATTCCATATCCTTTCCTACTCTAAAAATAAAGAGTATAGAATGAGGAACTAGATAACACAGAGATAAAACTGCCAGACTCTAGAGATTTTCAGTAGAAAGCAGATTTATGAATTAGAAGTATATTGACGTTTCTCTCTTCCTCTCTCGATTTAGTTATTAAAATTTTATTAAATATATTAAACATGTTAAAATAATTTTAAAAGATATTATAATTGAAAGAAAGATTTATAATAAAAACTAAAATAAAAGAGAATCTGTTTTAAGACTTATAAACACCTTGTAAAAATAACACACATATTGAAGTTATTTTTTACACAGTCGGATTTGCAGTATAGGGGTCGGAAACATGTCGATATCTCGATTTGGATTATACAAAATGCTTGTGCAAAGCAGCGCGCGAATGTGAATATTCTGATGGCTGTAGCGTTCCTTATTCTTCCCTATTAGGGTCGAGTCCGATCTTCAAAAAGATTGATCTTCTCAAACAACAATAGCGATTTTAAACTGATCCATTTTGCGAAAATTTCCCATGTAGGGTTTTACAATCAACTCAGTACTGGCAAACTACTGGCCCAGTTCTGCCTAAGTATTACTGGATAATAACTTGAGCCCAGTAACTGACAGATGATTCTGGCCTAGTCATTTTAGCCAGTCATTTACCAGTGATGGCCTAGTACTGGCTGATAGAACTTTAGCCGTCAGTTAACAGTCGTAGCTAAGCGTTGGTTTCGCTGTAACTTCTGGCTTCCCTATATAGGTTGATTTTTCTAATTAAAAGGAGCCATTTTCACCCGATCTTTTTGTAAAAAAAATCTTTTTTTTTTTTATAGAAAGGCGATTTTTGAAGCGATTTTTTTTCGCAAAAAATCGATTTTTAGCGAATCTATCCGGAGATCGTATATACTTATTTTTGCGAAGTGTATCAGACGCTGCATCGTGTCTGTCATCTTGCGCGCGGAAGTTACTCTATCTCTTCTCCCTCCGTAACTCAATTTTCCCAGCTATGCGACCGTCACGGCGCATCGCCACGGTAAACACGGCGAAACCACCGACTCAACAACACACGACGCCGATGAGGCCCGCCCCGCTGCACCACGGCACTGGCATTACAGCGAAATTACTCCCCCGTACTCGCCGTCCGGGATACGCGAGCGACGCGTGCGAGAGCGGACGATTCGCCCTCGAGCGCAATTTTATTCCGTTGGATAATTGGATCCTCGGGGCCGCAGACTCCAAGGCGTCTTCTTCGGTTCTTGGCCTCCCTTCGCACGCGCGATCCACGACTATCCCACCATCTCGTATTCCCCGATTTCCTCGCGCGATTCGCCGGAGCCGAGATCGTTGCGAGGAAATCTCACCAATTCGAAGATTTCGACTTTAATTGTGTTCTGTGTGCGTTGACTTCGTTATTTTGACGAGATCTTGCACGCATCTGAGAAGCATAAATGGATCTAGGTATTTTCGAATGATGTTAAGAGAGATAGCGGATAAAGTTTTGAGAAAAAATAAAACGGACAGAAGATTAGAATATTTTGAGAACAATTTTTCTTCTTAAAATAAAACATCGTTGATAAGTTTATAATAAATAATAAATAAATGAAATACGACTGGTCTCTAATACTTTTGAGAACAATCTTTTTTTTTTTATGTAAATGCTAAACAAATAAATTTAGAATAATCTGTATTAATGTATGATATTAATTTATTTATTACACTGAAAAAAATGCATGTAATTTTACATGGAAATTTCATGTTCATCACTGGAAAATTATCTAAATATGATTGAAAATTTACAATTTCCAGTAAATTTCCAATCATACATATTTAATTTAGATAATTTTCCAGTCATAAACATGTAATTTCCATGTAAAATTACTTTTTTTTTCAGTGTATTCTTATATTTTTTATATTTACTTTTTATTCAAACATTTTAACGACTATGGATATTTTAAAAGAAAGAAAAAGAAATAACATTGAGCGAAATAGAAAAAAAATGATTTATGATTAAGGATTGCATTTTACATTAATGTTATATTATATATGTTATTATGTTATATTTTTTTATCATGAAAAAGTGTGTGTATATATGGTCCAAAGCTAGAGATTGAGAAATAAATAAAAAAAATGATATTAATGACATATAAAGTTTAGATTGTCCGACATTGCGAAATTTTTGTGTGTGTGTGTGTGTGTGTGTGTGTGTGTGTGTGTGTGTGTGTGTGCGTGTGTGTGAAGAGGACCTTTTTTTTTAAATAAAACTTCTATTTAGCCTCGATGTGTTAAATAATAAACAAAGAGGACGAGACCCATTTAATAATTGCTTCTCTGGAACATCACGAAAAATACAAGACCCAGGGGGACATGTCTTGTTTTTGGAATTCGCAAGACACAATAAGAATTTGTCGTAACATCCCGCGGCGGTGTGTGTCGGGTAACGTAATGGAATCCCCGAAGTATATACGTGTTCGCGAAACGAGCGCATTCGTCTCGCAAGACGAGCGAGGGAGAGAGATACTACCCCGAATTCCCCGAGCGCGAACGAACCGCGGCGCGTCTCTTAATTAGTGGTCGGATTCGCTCCCTGTATCTCGCCCTTGCGCGTCTGCCCGAACGTCCGTTGTTCGTGTAAACTAGACTTTACATCAGCGGCTAGCCGGTAGTCCACGCCGCGGCACGGGGGAAATTGAGTTAAGCCGGAAGGGTCGAAGGTAGCCTGGGAAAGGGGACAGAGTGAGATTTATCTTAACAATAACCCTTCAGGCGCGCGTCGTGCGGGCATCTTCTAAAAATAAATACGAAAGGTGTGGAGAACGGTGAGCGCGAAACGCGAAACTCCGGAGTTTATTATCCCGAAAATAATGAACGCGAGCTGTTCTTCTTTTTTTTTGTTTTAAAAGCCCAGTTTTGAAAAACATGAGTTAAAGTTTCTTTCACAGATTTTCGTTTTTTTTTATTTTCCTTATTTTTCCAGTACAGTCTTGGCCGTAAATATAAAGCATTCTCAATTTATTATATTTTGTTGGAAAAAGTGATAATAAAATTAAAAGGAAAATTAACAAATATTAAAATTGCTAAAAAAATAAATATTATTTTTCAATACAACTGGTTTTTAATTTATTTTTCGTTATAGTTTACGTCAATTTGTGAGAGTGATTTTACTTTTGGCCAAGGCTGCACATTGTTTTACAATATTTTTATGAATTAATTAATAGAAGTTTGTTTGTGTTAAAATTGCATAAATGTTTTTACTGAATATGATGCAAGTCCATTTTTAGCAATTTATTTTAAACTGCATAATATAAGGAATTATAAATATTAAGCTTTTTAATGATATGTACGATTTTATATAAGTTTATGGTTACATTTTTATGAACAACGAATTTATTCATAGAGTCGTATATGTCACTGAAAGAATAATATTTAAATTTTGTGTCATTTCGTTTAATAATTAGATGTTTATTAATTGTCCATTAATGTGTGTTCCAATATAAACTAACTTTAATCTCGATTCAACTTATTCTTCATCTTTTTTTAAATCTTGCAAGAAACGGGTACATTTATCTTATAATTAGTTCTCGAGATATTAATTTAACAGTTTATGTGTGTACATAAACTGTTAAATTAATGCTGTATAAAGACTAACGAAACACGGAAATTGTATCTCTTTTAACTATTATACATATTCGAAACGCGTTGTAAGCAGTGAAAAATGAGAATTATGGTTAACAGATTTCAATGAATTGTAATGTTGCTGTATTAAAATTAGAATCCGATCGAAAATTTGATTTCGGTTTCGATTACGCTAAATTTGGTTTCAGATTCGGCTAAAAATCGAAGTTTTGGTTA